GTGGTGAGCAAAGCCCGCGATCCAGGACAATACCAGACACCTGGCACCCAAGTTCTCAAGCCAAACAGTGTGAATCGGGTGCCCAGTATCGAGAGCTTTCCATCATTGCTGGAGCACTTCTGTGTATAGCAGTGAATCGATTGAATTGGCAGTAAGCGCTTGCCCTTCCTGAAATCATTGTTAGCATTGCGGTCTAATTGCTAGAACTGCAGAAAAAAAGAATGATTTATGGTGACAGATCAGGCATTTCCGTTTGGCAGGAAGGTCATTCACCACTATGAGGGGAGTTATTCCTCGTAAGTTTGGGGCGACAACAAGACTCATCATATCGAGGGGAGGGCGGGAAAGAAGGAAGACCTACCAAGTTCAATGGAAGCAATCAGCAGAGCCACCGGCTGCTCTGGAATAAGAACGCATGGCCGTTTTCTGAGCTCTGCTGTTTGCTGATGCGAAAAAGAGGAAGAGGCTCAACCATCGTGGAATAATTCGTCTTTTAAGGCTAAGAAAAAATTTGGAGTGATTGGGGTCTCTTGGTCCGTGCATCGCGGAGCCACGGAGGTATCTTTCGCCGGCGCATCGCTGTCCTGTCCCCGAATGGAATTTGATCGAGGTGTGGAAAGTACGCCCCACCAAGGCGGGACCAGGCAGTGACTGAGCCTTCACTCTGTGGCTCAGTGGCCCCTGCTCCCTCAAGGTGAGCGGGGGGTTCAAATGCACTCGATGTCCCGCATCCCAAGGAGCATAAAAGACCCCACCAAACACACGGCCGGACACTGAGCGAGCCAGACCTACAAAGTCGGGGATTAGCCTAATCAATTTGCATGTCCACCCCGCCACCGCGTCTCCTTCACCACCAAATACCATTTTCCGTATAAGTCAACGGTCGACGCAATTATATCACGACTTCTCTCTGCATTTCTTCGTCACTGCCAAAACAACGAAATACAGTGCTCACCAAATATCAAACAAATAGACAAAATCCCCTGATCTCAGCAACATTTTCCAAAGTTTTGACGACACTCTCATCTCACATCACAACCATGTCTGATCATGATATTGCGGGTAAGTGAAGATCGATCTTTCCTTCCGCACTCAAGCGTTCTCCATGAGACTTTCCTTTTACTCCGGGTTTGTGCCTGCCTGGTGTTCACGGCCAGGCCTCAAAAACGACTTGCGCCTTCTCTGCAAGAGCACCCAAATCCTACCGATGGTCGACCATGTATAAGACGTTGCATGACGCAGCTTTGTCTGTATCATGCGACGGTCTTATTGCACCTCCTCGCAACCAGCATGTCGTTCAGTGTGAGGAACAGTTACAGGCGTGTTTATTGCCTGGGTATCTTTTGGTGTTCGCTCAGCCTGATTCTCGAACCTGAAATGCTGACATGACCTTACTAGGCAACGATGACTTGTCCTTGCCCAAGGGTACGTGACTTCAACCCCAAGAGATGCTCGCTCTCTTGGTGCATCTCTTGGACCCCCTCGTCCGGGAATCCTCAAGCTAATATGCCATACAGCCACCGTTCAGAAGATCGTTACCGAGATTCTGCCGCCCTCAGCCGGCGTCGCCTTTGCCAAAGAGGCTCGTGACCTTCTAATTGAGTGTTGCGTCGAGTTCATCACCCTCATCTCCTCGGAAGCCAACGAGATCTCAGAGAAGGAGGCAAAGAAGACCATCGCGTGCGACCACATCACTAAGGCACTCGAGCAATTGGGTTTCGCGGACTACGTCCCGGCCGTACTAGAGGCCGCCGCAGAGCACAAGGAAGTGCAAAAGGTATGTTCCACGTCCTGACCCGACACTGTTTGATGGGAAATATGATCACTGACAACCTGTACAGGGCCGTGAAAAGAAGGCAAACAAGTTCCAAAACAGCCAGATTCCCCTCGAGGAACTGGAGAGAATGCAGAGAGAGGCGTTTGAAGATGCCGCCAACCGCCACGCTTAGGCTATGTCGGTACGAGGAAAAGAATAGGCGTTGGCTGCGTTTGTTGCCGCATTATTATGGGGTTTGGCGTTCAGGATACATTGGGAGAGACATGATGATTCAAACAACGCTGACGAAGGCATGAATCCGGCTCGCGGGCCGTGGTGGGGTTAGCTTTGACGAAAACGACCGTTTGGCATATGGATTTCGAGTAGTCCCCTCGGCACATCAATATAAAAGCTCATGTTGATCGGGTCCAGCAACGCCTTTTAGTTTCGTTCGCTCCGTTACGACGTCTCCTATCTGCATGAATATACATGATCGACCTATATATCGAATTCGTTAACATCCCTCATGATCGACCCCCCAAGAAAATCAACAACGCCAGAGTTCCCACATGTATTCCCATGGAACCGCAATCCCTGACCCGCATATATCCCATCCCAACGTCATGTCTACCACAATCGTCGTTGGTAGTAAACCCTCTCTTCGCTCTCTGACAGCCGCCTCAGCTCTTCCTTGATCAAACGCCGTCTCTCGGCCCGGCTGATGGGCTTCTGGTTCGACGCTTCGGGGTCCGGGTTCGCCTGGTCCTTGACGTTCCACCCGTTGATGTTCCTCTCCCTCTCGTCCATCTTCTCCAAGTCTTCCCTGCTGACTCCGCCCTTGTCCTCCTTCTCCGACAGCCCCGTCATCTTTTGCCACATGTCGGATGTCCATCCCGCTGCTTTTTGTCCGGCCTTTTGTTTCTTTGGTTGCTGCTGCGGCTGCTTCTGCTCTTGCTTCTCGGGCATCGTGGGGTTCACCTCGATGATGATCTGCTCCTGCTTCCCGTTCGCGCCCCCATAGAGGGGCACATTCTGCCCGTTGCCTGCTGCATCCTTGAGGTGCTCGGGAACGTAGTACGACGCCTTTGGAGACGGTCGCGATTCGGGCTTGATGGCTTCACGCAGCTGGTTTAGCGTGCGCTGCTGGATCACGTAGCCACTAAGAAAGAGGGCCGCGGTACATGAGACGACTATTGGATTTACCAAGAAATGCGTTTGCACGCAGACGCGGCTCGCCGCCTCGCGCGCAGGAACGCATTTCGCTGAGGTTAGCCCGTTTGTTCTGTTTGGTTTGGCAGTGCGGGACTGGAATGCGGGAACGGGGGGGAAGGGCGGGTGTTACCGATAGCTGAGGAGATGAGGACGGAGACTTGGGAGGAGGTGAGGAGCACCATGGCAGCAAACTATGGGATTTTGTGATAGAAAAATGGTTGTTCTTGAATTTTTCAATACTTCAGGTAGATTTTTGTAAATGTCTCGAATGATTTGAGGATGATTTAGAGCTTCGATGATGGCGTCGGCTTTCACCCTTGGCTAGCGTCGCAGTCGTTAGACGTGCGCGGCGTGAGCGTGAACTTGGAAGTGGGCTGTTTACTTGGTTCGCACGGCAACAATCGATAAGCGCCTTTCAATTCGGCAACGACCTCCCAACTTTTCCAACCTGCGTCACTCGCGAACGCTCCCGCCACAACACTGCCCACCCCACTACCCGAAGAGCTACCCTCGACGAATCGCGACTTTTCAATTCCAGCTAAGCCTAGCTTCCATCGAAACTTACCGTATCGCGATCAATCCGCAGACCCATACCCCGAAAGCCAAACGACAACCCCCTAATTGCCCTCCCCTACCCGAAAAAAGAGACACAGATCGCAAAGATGAGCAAGCCCGACCTCGTCTACGCCGACGAGCGGCGCTTCCTCGACGAACGCGGCTCCTCGGCCTCCCTAGCCCCCAACGGCGAGAACCCAGCCACAATCATGGAAAAGGCCGTCCGCGAGCGCATCATCGACTCCTACTTTTACAAAGAGCAGTGCTTCGCCGTCAACGAGGCCGACATTGTCGACCGCGTCGTCGAGCACGTCACTTTTATAGGCGGCACCTCGGGCGTCACGCAGAAACCCACGCCGTTCCTGTGCCTCGCCTTCAAGCTGCTGCAGCTCGCGCCGTCGGACGAGGTGCTGGAGACGTATCTGGGGTTCGGCGGGGACAAGTTCAAGTACCTACGCGCGCTGGCGTGTTTCTACGTGCGCATGACGAGGAAGGCCAAGGATGTGTACCTGTTGCTGGAGCCGTTTTTGGAAGACCGGAGGAAGTTGAGGAGGAAGGGGAGGGCGGGGACGAGTTTGACATTTATGGATGATTTTGTGGATGATTTGTTGACCAAGACGAGGGTGTGCGCGACGAGTTTTAGGGAGTTGCCCAAGAGGGTTGACTTGGTTGATTTGGGCGAGCTCGAGGAGAGGATCAGTCCATTGGGTGATATTGACGAGCTCCTGGATGACGAGGAAGAGAACGAGGAGGAGAATGCGGGAGCGAATGGGGCGGACGAGTCGGAAGGGGAGGTGGCGGAGGATAGAAGCGGTGCTGGGGAGCCGATGGATGTGGAAAGATCGAGGTCAAGAACGAGGTCTAGAAGCAGAGATCGGTCTCCTTGAGTGTATAGCGATGGTGGAAAATGATACCCAATCTCTTGCTCCTACCGGGCAGAGTTCAAAATAGACAAAAGCATGGTTTGTATGCGTGAAGCGGGTAGACTTTGGTGCTTGAGGAATCTCTAATTCATCAAAATATCGTACAATAATGACGAAGCATTAAGAGATGCAAAAGACAAAAGAGTTCACCCCCCGGTGCTGAACTGGGGGCTACGTCTCTGGCGCTCATGCTGGGAAATTTCTGGTGCTCATGCTGGGATTCGAACTCGGGTATGCGCTGAGCCTGTCGTCGAGTAGGCTGGTTGGCGTGAATAATTAGTGACCATTAACCATTCCACCACCCACGCCACAGTTTGACCTGACCCTCGACCTAGAGGGCGCCTGCTGTGCTGGTGACGAGAGTTGAATTGAGTAGACCCATAGAGGCTTCTCTCGTGGCGTCGAGGTATCGGATGAAAGGGTGGGTGGGTTGATCCCCCAGGGTATATTCCATTGTATTCTACTGTACAGTACATTTTCCAGAACGCCGCCTCTCACACGGCGACGGGTATTCTTACACAGTGCTTGCCGTCCTTCTGGCGGATGACTTATGATCAGGCGGACAATTGACGCAGGAGATTCTTGGCCACGCTGAGCAACCGCTTGTCGTCCCAGTACTGACCGATCAGCTGGAGACCCGCCACATTTCGGCTACCGTCCACCTCTCCATCCTCGGCCTTGATCTTGGTAGGAATACTGATGGCTGGTAGTCCAGCTAGACTAGCCGGCACGGTAAAGACATCATTCATGTACACCTGGACCGGTGTCTGCCGCTTGATATCCTCGATACGCGGCGCAAATGTCGGCGCAGTGGGACACAGCAAGAAGTCCACCTGCGAAGGGCCAAGCTTATCCTGGAGCTCGACCTCGTCCTTCATGTCGCTCAAGTCGAACTGCTGTTCGTCGTAGAGAGGATTCTCCAGCCTAAAGACGCGGTCGAAATCTCGCTGGACGAGCTTGCGCACCCGCTGTGCCTGGATAAAGTAGTTGTCCATCGCCTCGGAGCTCAAGCTGTAGGCGCCGAGGACAATGCGGCGTCTGACTTCCTCGCCGAATCCAAGGCCGCGAGTCTTGGAGTAGAGGACCTCGCCAGCGCCATCGCTGTCGTCGCCACGGGTGCCGTAGCGGACGCCGTCGTATTTGGCGAGGTTGGAGGATGCTTCTGCCGGTGCGATGACGTAGTATGCTGATAGAGCGTGCTTTGTGGACGGCAATGACACTGGAACCACTTCTATGCCGGACTTCTGTAAGAGGTCTGATGCGTCAGACCAGGCTGCTTTGATCTCGGGGTCCAGCTCCTCGATATTGTATTCCAGGGGAATGCCGATTCGAAGCCGTGACCGACCAGTTGCAGCTTGGCTCTGCTGCTTCTTCCGGAAGCTCTCTGACAAGGATGTCGGGTCCTGGGAGTCGTGTTCCGCGTCCAGTCCCGTGCTGAACATCAGATTCTCGATAACGTCAACATCCCTAGCAAGCAGGCCAACGGTGTCCAATGAGTTTGCATACGGAACAACCCCGAACCTTGACAGCATGCCATAGGAAGGTTTGTATCCGACCACACCACAGTACGCCGCAGGAAGACGAATTGACCCGCCCGTATCCGTCCCCAGCGCGACGTCCGCTTCACCAGTCTGAACCGCAACCGCGCTGCCTCCTGAGCTCCCGCCAGCAGAGGTGGGCGTCGCAGACAGCGGGTTGAGCACAGGCCCGTGGACTGAGTTCAGCGAGTGGGATCCCATGCCAAATTCATCCATGTTTGTCTTCCCTACGACTTGAGCACCTCGTTCTCGGAGCTGGCGCACTATGGTGGCCTCGTAGGGGCTTTTGTGGGAGGAGAGGATGGCGGAGGAGCATGTTGTCGGCAGCCCTTGGGTCGCAATGTTGTCCTTCACCGCTAGCTTGAACTTAGTCGCCAATTCGAGGATTGCTTCGGGTGCAGCTGTAGTTGCTTCGGAGGCATCTGCGGCTTTCCTGTTAGCTGTGGCACAATCGAGGTGGAATGGGTGAGCTGCCTCGTACCTGGACGGTACACGAAGTGATTGAAGTCATGGTGTGAGCGTCTCTGCTGTCGTGTAGCTTGCGCACTGCATCTTGAGATCAATGGCCACAGATTTAGCCGCGAGAGCTTTACGTGAGAAGACATGTGGCTACAATGGCCAGCCGGTGACGTTGTTTCATGTAGCTCGTGGGCTTTTTGGAGAGCTTCTCGTCTCGGTGAACGTTGGGGTCAATTCACCGAGGGCCGGTGCATGACTAAGCTCTTTCGGGGTGGATTTCAAGGTCCGGACCCACGTCCGATAAACCAACCTCTCCGAGCCAGAGTCAACTTCATGCGACGTTTTGCTTGCTTGACCATGGCCATTTCCGATATGTCACATTCATCTCCTAGTTCCCAAGCTTATGTTTCAACCTAAATTAATTCAGAAGCTACGCGGTATACCGAGGACTATCACTCGGCAATCCTGCTCGTAACTCTTTTTGTTTTTGCTGCGCTGTGTAATTGGTAGACCATTAACTGTAACCTGCGACGTGCTAATCAGCAACCCGCTATTCGCCTGACTAATAATTGTGACCGGTGTATCCTTTGCTCCAATACGTCATGGTCGACGTCTGCCAGATCAAGGATCTCTGCTTGAAGGATTCTTCCATCTCCTCCAACGCCTCAGCGGAAGGCTCGTCGTATTCATCTCTGGCGGTGGTAAACAGCTTCAGAACGTCGGGCTCTCGTACGAAGATCCAATCTCAAAATACGTATGCACGTCTCCTCAGCCAATTGTTCTTGGGTCTGTAAACCCAGCAAAGCGGCGGCACAAAAGTGTTAGCCGCATACCAACCCGCGTAAGGCCCCTTGTCCGTGTTGCAAATAGTCTCGTAGGCGGGAATTATCGTCCCGAGCTCAGATGTGCTGGAGTCTTCCAAGTCGGTGTTGTTGTAAGCATGAGCATCCATGATGCACTCCAACGCATCGGAAAGACTAGTTCGGCCGGCATTGAATGCCGATTCAAGTAGCACTCGCTTAGACTCTCGAGATGTTGTCGAGATCAGGCGACGGAGGAAGTCGAGTCCGCGAGAGAGCTATATCACCTCCAGTCAATGATCCAGTCGCATACTAGAACACATTCCGTTCTATGATTGGTAGAGTGTACTACTAACCCATAACTGTATCATCATGTTATCTCCGCCGGTTGTCAAATAGTCGATCTGATATTCGCCAAAGGTGACATCGTGGGCAAGGACGTCGACGGACGCTAGTCAAATATGTATCAGTAAAGGAATCGGAATAGATCTTGGTACCCGAATAACTTACCTTCCAAAAACTTCGCCTCAACGAAGTCATGTACGCAGCCAAGTTGCTCATTCTCCCACGGCGGATGTCTGTGGAAGAGCAAGTTTCCCGTTCCGGACAATCCGTTGAAGTTTCCGACCGCCCCGAAGAGGACGTAGAATAAGTCGACGCGATAGAAGGCGCGGCAGAAGCGAGAGTACTCGGAAGGGGACAGATCAATGGTCTCTGGTGATGTTGTGATGTCAGAGGAGAGGTGAATCTTGGCTCCTGCCGCATAACTGAGTGCTAGGGTAGTCACCCAATCGTGCTTGCGCGACATGCTTCGCAAGAGTTTTAAATGCATTGAAGCGGTTGTAGCTACCAGCTGTGAAGGCTCATCGTAGAGTAAGTCGAGCAAGCTGCGGATGGAACTCTCATCACCTGGACTTGGCTCAAGTCTTGACGCTTCCAAAGACGCGACGGCATATGGAAGTAGTTCTGGCGCGATTAACCGACGAAGAATGGCTAATTCAGTGCCGGGAATCTGCATAAAGGAGGAATAGATATGGTGACATGTAAGCAAAGCTGAAGTGAGAGTCTCAAAATCGTCTAGTCTTCGTAGAATGGAAGACACTAGCTCGCAAGGAATGTTTGTCATCGAAGCCATTCTGATGTCGAACGGGATTCGCAACCGTGATTCTGCCTGGAAAGCGAAAACGGAAGAAAATAAAGCGGGAAAGATAAAGAAAAGCAGATGAAGTTTCAAGACTCAGTAATGTAAAAGGGAGTTCGGGTGGGCCGCAAGGGCGAATAAGTGACGGGAGGGAAGTTTGTCTTTGGACTCCTAATCCACACACTGTGGCCTACTGTGGGCGGGTGGTCACTTCTTTGACGGCATTCACTTCACCGACCACCAGACTGGCAACCAGACACTGAGACGCGAATAACGCCCTAGTTTCTGCTTAAGAGTCGCCACGTGTTTGATCATAACAAAATATACAGACCTGACTTCATCTGATGATAGCCTCAATTCTAGACTCTTCCACTTGCCGGTTGTCACGATAATGTTTGTAGTTGGCGCGTAACAAACCGTTCCTAACAGGCACATTGACTACAATGCTTTTACCTTCACTCTCATTATTAGCCTTGATATCTTATCGACGTTAAATTCATAGCTAAACAGTCTTCTTTAGCTCGGAAGGAAAAGACTTCCTTTCCACACCCATGTCGAGTCGCCACGTAAACTTGTCACCAGCCTTCGTATCCTCTCGCTTTCTTTTCAGATAACGCGCATTCGGATATTTAGTCTCACTGTTTTTCCTTCTTCTTTTTTTTGCCAGTCCACCGCAGACCGACCACTTCAAATCACTGTCCGCGGCTTGGTAGCAAGACTATAGACTACCGGAACGGTGAGCCTCAGCCACAGTATATTTTGTAATCGCCCAGACTGACTACGAACTTGACACCAGACCCCGAAGTCGTTATCAAACTTCGAAAGAAGTACTCCGGTCTTGGCGACAAACTTGAATACATACACACGATTCACACGAAGTATACCGCATACAAGCATGCGCATGCAGAAGGCAAGGCATCAAACAACACATACAAAAACACAGCTCACCCACTGGGGTTAAGAAGACCTTATCCTCCTGGACAGGTTACAAATGGCACTGCAATCAATGGATCCAAATACAGCGTCAAAAGCCATCAGATCCTAACACCACTGGTCGGCATGGCTAGCTCGAACGCGCAGACGTGAGTGATTTGGTAGTTGACATTGAGACATGATATCGCTAACACCTCTCACAAGTCATGCCGATCGCCGTGAATCTTTCAACGACAAGTACGAAGATGTACTAGTTGCTAAGAATCAATACAAAGGTCACATCGAGCAATATAATTTAGTAGCGGGAAGTGCAACAAGATTTGCAAAATTGCGAAATAAACATGAACCGTTTGATCCCTTGCGAAGCTCAAGACTTTGAGCTGGGCTCAATTCAGTTCTACTGTTCATAGTAATGATACATGGGAATGAGTTCCCCCAGAAATCAATCCGGCGAGATCGGAAGAGGCAGTGGTATATTCTTGATATACTAGAAGTATCACAATGTGAGTCCCCGTGTACCATGGTGAATAGAGGTGAATGAACTAAGAAAGCTTTGAGCGATGAATGCATTGCAATCAGTTACGACCTCTGAGGGATACAATGTCTTATTGATAGCAGACCTAATAGTTAATACGCAACCAGGATTGTGGCATGGAACTCAAATGCACCTACACTGTCTAAGATCCTGAAATTCCTAAACTTCTTTCTGCTGGATAGTATTACTGAAGCAAAAGGCTTTGTTGGATCGGCCGATTTAGATCAGTAGCTGATCCTACCTGGTTTTGGGCTAACAATGACCAATTTTAGGTATCAGACTCAGAGCCCGAGGAATCATCATCTTTGTCAAGACTTCACACGTAACCATGTTCGGATGATTGTCCCTCGCCCGTACATGCGTTGCAGGAAAATTGATACACTGACGTTGACATTTGGAGGTGAAAGCCGAAAAGTGGTGACTTGGCAGGCTTTTCAAGAACACGTCGTAGATGGTGCTATGTCTAGGCAGTATACTAAAGCAGATTTCATTAATGTATATAGTAGTCCCAAAACAATTACTTCTATCCTGTATGTCTCTTCTCTACCAAAGTGCTGGCCATCCCTATGTTTAATTTATAACTTCTACTCATAACCCATTGCCCTCTAAACCCTTGTGGACAAGGCTGACTTCTCTCTAGCTGCTGCTGGCGCCGGATCTTTGACTGATGTGTCACTCCCGTCTGTGGCCGCGTTATTCTCGGGTTTATCGTTGTTACCACCCCTCTCGCGCGACTCTGAATTGAGCGCATTGTTTGTGTCAAGTCTTTCTCTCTCTCTTTTGTTGAATACAAGTCCCGGGTGTCCGACCAACAGAGAAAACACGGCCAAAACCATAACACTCGGCAATGTCAATACACGCTCTCGTAAATCATACAAAGGGGGAACTTACGCTGACTCCAACGCGATAAACAACGTTTCGTCTCGGAACCAGTGACTGAAGTAGCCCTCATGCAGCTCCACAATTCGGTAGACGCAACGCAGCAGTACAAACATAGTACCAAGGCTCAGGAAAGCTAAGAAGACCACCAGCCTTCTGCTCATTGGGGGACGAGTCCTTGACCGAGTGTAAGCGATCATGTAATCTCCAAACAGTCCGCAGAACGCCGCAAGCGAGACAACTTGTAATACAAGTCCAGCGAGTGAAATCTTGACGCCTCGGTCTGCAGCCTCCTTAGTCGTGCTGACGGAGGACATCGCACCTCCTACAGCCTGAAGAATCAAGGAAACAATGTCAACCGGGATAAATGTCCAGTAGTAGAGGCGAGGCGGAAATCGGGAAATGGACCGATCGAGAAAGTTGATACTGAAAGAAGGCCTACTCAGTATCCAAAGCTTAGGCAACGAATATTCTGGAAGCTCTTACGTTTGGGAAAGTGTAACGTAAATGGCGGCAGAAAAAAAGACCGGAGCTATTGTGATGCAGACTGAGAGAGAGTTTAGTTCTAATATCTTTCAAGTGAATCAGGCAACTCAAGGAGAACTCCCTAAAGGAGGGCAGAACACTGACTGATTTGCATGAGAAATCCATTAAAGTCAAATGGGTTGTCGTGGATGAAGAGTCTCCCTACGTAGCCAACGATTTCCAAAACACATCCACTGATCATGCTTGCTGTGAACCCCCAAGTCTTCCACTTAAACCCCAGAATGGCATGTAAAGCCAAGGCTAAAGAGAAAAACCCGATAAAGGTGCGGCTAGCGGGAAGAGAAGGCTGGTAACGAAGAATACTCCATTCTATCGGGCAAAGATCGAGTGTGCAGTTGGCTTCAGGTCCGAAAGCGATGAGGCCGTCGGGTAAGTCCGCCATTCTGAATAATGCACCGGCGAGGCGTGAGGTGAAGCTGATGACAAAATTACAAACGAGTCGGACACTGTGGGTGGTGATGGCAGCTCCGTACTCCGGGGCGAGTCGGCACGTAGAAAGGTTTATAAACCTCACCTCATGCCAAGGGACGGGATTTAGAAAAAATTGGCAGCTACTAGAGTTTACTCAGTCATCAATGACCCAGCTCCCCGGTGTTCCGCAGGAATCGGGCAGAAAGGGTGTCCGACACACCAAGTCCGCCTCGCACAGGTGCAGTGAGTCCGCACATCGCGTCAGAACGTGGCTTAGACGCATTCCGCCGTGGCCCACTTCCTACATGTGCCTAGTCGCAACTTGCCATGGCCTGACAAGGCCTGAGCTATCTAATCTAGCCGCCAATCCGCTGGTTTTCATTGGGATCTCGCCAACGGCTATGCACACCTACTTTAGACATATTTCGTCACATTCAACTCTGCCACAGAACGAAAGTACCGTTCGGCATACGACTGACGTGGGCACAGAAGCTTTGGATCTGGAGAGCTTGGCCAACATCTTCTCCGCCCAGTCAATGTGGTAGAGCACCTCAGTCAAATTCCACATAAGGACGGAGTCCTTCAGCTGTCTATGTACAAAGATACGAGTCACCTGAGCAACCAAAATCAAAGACTTCCTAGTGAATGATTACGATAGAAAAGCCAGAGTGAATTAGACTCACATCGAAATCCCCGAAACGCGTGGATACCCTGCGCTAAAGACCGGTGATGGGTTTAGTCTGACGTTTGACATCCTAGTCAATCTTGCCTTTTTGGGACAAAATCTCGCGGCGCTAGCTGACTGTGGGACTCTTTCCGGGTGAGCCCTACCTGTTGGTCCGCAGACCCATAAATTCGAGCTCCGTCGGCTGAAGGAGGAGAGAGAAGCATGGCGAGTGTGATGAGAAGTAACATTCCACTCTGGCCTTCAATTAGAATGAGGGAGTCTCGTCTATGAATAACAAGTGAGGGCTGGCGAGAATAAGTAGCCATGTTTCCTTATTGCGAGACATCAAATCCCACATATTTCGTAGTCTGTCCAATGCTGATCCGGCTGCTTCGAGTCTTGTTTTAACTGCATGTTGACCCAATAGGGGCATATTTTGGGGAATTATAACGCCTGATTTTGTGATTGTTTCAAGTCTAGCAGTCCTGTTGCTTTCAGCCTCTGCCCAAAGTTACGGGGCCTCCACGGCTCACATCACATATCAACAACTTTTGAGACATTTCAGCTGGCGTGGCAGCTCCCCAGGTCTCTAGCAAGCCTTTCCTGTATTCGTTCGCCAGTCCAAAGCCACGAGATCTGACGATTTCGAGGAACGCAAGCACACGTGTTTGCTCCGTCGGCGTTTGCATCTCTCGT